TAAGATTCTCTTCAAAACGCTAAACTCAGTTCTGGTGTATCAGGAGCCTAGCACCATGTCTCCTACAGCTGCTGGAAACTCTGAAGCTTTTCACAAATTCTTTGTTGATAAAGTGTCGGGCATTAGAGCAGCTATTTCTGGTAACTCTGTTGACCCTGTTCCAGTTCATCCATCACCACCCACCCTGAGCTCCCTCAATGCAGTTTCATACTCTGAGCTGAGTACGCTAGTTGCGAGGCAGAAGCCATCTGGCTCTCCACTTGATGATCTACCGCCTCGTCTCTGGAAGGCTGCCTTTCCGTGCCTTGGCCCATCACTTGGTCAGATTATCAATGGGAGCCTCAGCACAGGTGTGGTCCCAGCTGCTTTGAAAGCAGCAGTTATTCGGCCGACCCTGAAGAAACCTGGTGCTGATGTCTCTGTGATCGAAAATTACGGGCCTATCTCTACCCTGCCCTTTACATCTAAACTGCTTGAGAAAGTCGTTTATCAGCAGCTGGTCTCACATTTAGCTGACTCTGATCTGTTTGAGGTTTTCCAATCAGGGTTCAGGTCTGGCCATAGCACAGAGTCTGCTCTACTGAGGGTCCTAAATGACATCTATCTATCACTAGATCACGGAACATCTGTGCTGCTTCTGTTATTAGATCTGATAGCAGCCTTCGACACAGTTGACCATGCGATTCTACTCGATCGCTTGGAACGATGGGTTGGGATCAAAGGGTCAGCTCTGGACTGGTTTAGATCGTATCTCCAAAACAGGACATTCTGTGTTAAACTGGGTGATGTTTTTTCTTCTTGGGAGGGGCTCCGGTGGGGGGTCCCGCAGGGGTCGATCCTTGGTCCACTTTTGTTTGCCATTTATCTGCTACCTCTGGGGTCAATCTTTCGTAAACATGGCCTATCATTCCATCTGTATGCTGACGATTGCCAGATTTACTCTCCATTGTGTCAGGAGAAAGGTCACTCTATTCAGTCCTTTGTCTCCTGTGTTAATGAGGTGAAGTCTTGGCTAATGTCCAACTATCTACATCTGAATGAGGGAAAGACAGAGCTCATTGTTTTTCACCCCAACAGCAGGAATGTGGATCGTTATGCTGATCTTGGCCCTCTTTCTCCATACTCAAAACCAGTTGTTACCAGTTTGGGGGTGAAACTTGATGTAGGACTTAAATTTGATGCTCACATCAATTCTGTGATCCGGTCCAGTTTCTTTCACCTGAGACACCTTGCTAAAATCAAGCATATGCTGTCGAGAGCCCACCTGGAGCGGGTACTGCATGCCTTTGTAATTTCTCGGCTTGACTACTGCAACTCTCTCTACGCAGGGTTGTGTCAGTCAATACTGCGTCGCCTACAGGTTGTGCAGAACAGCGCTGCCAGGTTCCTGACTGGGACCAGGAAACGGGACCACATCAGTCCAGTTCTGGCCTCCCTGCACTGGCTTCCGATTTCCTATCGCTCACAATTCAAAATACTCGTCTTTGTTTATCATTTCTTCCAGGGTGGTGCTCCCCCCTATCTGGCCACACTCCTGAACAGACATTCCCCATCACGCGCTCTGCGCTCCTCTGACCAAGGCCTGCTCGCTGTCCCTCGGTCTAGGTGTCGTACCCGTGGGGACCGGGCTTTCTCAGTCCTAGCACCGTTACTCTGGAACCAGTTGCCACCCTCAGTTAGGCTGTCCCCTTCTCTGCCAGTCTTTAAGAATCACCTAAAAACACACCTCCTCCGCTTGGCGTTTCCAGAACATGTTTGATTATGGCCCTCTGTTATGTTGAATCCATTCCACAGTTTTCATTGGTACACTCAATCCATCCACTCAATCCAATTGTGTCTCACACATTTGTATTTTACCGGAATGTTTCATCTATCTTGTAATTTCCATTTTGTATTTTGTAATTTGTATTTTGTAATTTGAATTTCTTTTATTGTTGATTTATTCAGTATAATTACTTACAACTGTACAATGTTCAGCGCTTTGGGCTTCCTGACAGGGTTGCGGAAGGCGCTTTATAAATAAAGCTTTGATTGATTGATTGATTGAAATTGACCTGTATTGGAATGTTTACTATGTGAAGTGCCTTGAGACGACTCTTGTTGTGATTTGGCGCTATAAAAATAAACTTGAATTGAATTTAATTGAATTGATTACAACCAGTCACACTGAGTTTTTCATGCAGGCTGACCATGAAAATAGTTTTCTGCAGCTATCTCCTGCATTGGCTTCTGATAGAAAATAGACAATGAAATGCTAGGATTTGAAACTCCTCACAGATCTATGTCACACTGGTCTTGACTCGTGACTGGGAAGGTTGATGTTGGTTTAACGTCCAGAAAGCAACAGCAGACATCTCGGCTAGTTTAAGCTAACCATTAGCATTCGGAGCTTCACTTCATGGCAGAAGCTCCTGCAGGCTTGTGTTATTTGTGGAGATAAAACATCCATGTTGCAAGTCAATTAAATTAAATTAAATTCAAGTTTATTTATATAGCGCCAAATCACGACAAGAGTGGTCTCAAGGCACTTCACATAATAAACATTCCAATTAAGGTCAGTTCATTAAGCCAATCAGTAAAAAGTTTCCTATGTAAGGAACCCAGCAAAGTGCATTGAGTCAATGACTACTGAAGTCAGTGGTAGAGTTGCGATGTTGTTATCCAATCCGGGGCGAGGTGTTCAAATATCAGGAAGTATATGTCGTATGAAGTTCAGCTGTGACTTAGGCCCATTCTCAATACTCGCACTTACACCCTTGTGCCCTTCAATTGCACATTCCCGACCAGGGGGGCAAGTGCGTAGGGTGTCCCGATTCTCATGTGCAGAAGTTGACCACACCCCCATTGCACCCTTAATCTGCACTTCACCCAAGTCCACAGCGCTGCGGACCTCGGATAAGGTTATTACCCACAATTCATTGCTGCAGGAGAAAATACTCAATTTCCTTTTCTGAAAATATGTATTTTCTAATAAAATTAGTTCATTTTAGGATGATTAGTTGATGCTCTGAATGTTTTAGACAAAGCAGCAACGAAGTAATTTTTTTTCAAATAATTGCTTTGTTGTTTGTTTGAAAGTTATTAATAAAGGTTTTTGAAAAAAGTTTCACAGCGACCAGCATCCCGTTATGCATTGCAAGGTTGCAATCGATGACGCAATGCTCCCTGTCTCAATTCGGCAATTATTTGCAAACTTGTGTACTACGCACTCGAACAAACTCTGCACACTTTCTCCAAGTGCACTTTGCTGAAGACAGCTGGGTACAGCATGAGTATTGGGCCTTTGCCTACTGAGACAGCGGTTTGTGGGCTCTTTTGTGCCCTGAGTTATGTCTGCAAGGCATTGATTCCTTCAAGAGACCACTGCAAATGTATTGATTAAACGAGTAATGCTGCATTAGCCTGGCCTGTCAGACTCCTCCTCTGTTTACTTCTGCACAGAGAAAGGGTCTGGGAACTCTCCTATTCAAATAACCCCACCCTGTGAGAATTCTAACCGAGCCAATCAGGGCTGAGTAGCGTACGTCACACACCATAACGCCGAGTTTGTCATAAATATGGCGACTGAAGTGGTGTTCGCTGTGGCTCTTTCCTCTGTTCTAAATGACTTGAATATGTCTTTAAAACAAGTAGAAGCAACAAAAGCCTTTCTTCTGAAGAAAGATGTTTGCACTGTCACCAGACTCCATTTTTGACTACAGCTAAAAAACTACAGCGTGGCAGACGTCACACACAGCGATGCTCAGTTTCTCATAAACAACGAAGACAGCGGCGGAGTTCCCTGCGGCTCTTTCCTCTGTTCTAAATGACTTGAATGTCTTTAAAACCACAACAAGTAGAAGCGCTAAAAGCCTTTCTTCTAAAAACAAAGATGTTTATGCCGTTTAAGCCTTTTTCTATTACATTTATGGCATTTCCATCTTTTTTCTGATTGGTTATTTTTGAGCTGCCTAGTTCTGCTCCTCAAGTGCCTCTCTGCCTGTGAGTTACCAGACTCTTTCTCTGTGCAGAGTTAAACAGAGGACGAGTCTGGCAGGCCAGGCCAATGCTGCACACCTTTAAATTAAAGAGCTGAAACTAAAAATCACCATATTCACCATTATTGTTATTCAATCAACTCAATGTTGAAAATTATTATATAAATAATTATGTGTGAGGACCTTTGTTTTTACAAAACAGTATTGAAACAAGCATTATTATAGTTGGATACATTGATTTTAACCCATAATGGTTACCTACTTGCATTTTGAGTCTGCAGCTCTGTCAGGAAATAGATATAAAAGGTTTTATCTAGAAACAAATGGATTTAGGGTTTTCATTGCTAACTGAAACAAAAGTAAATATAATAAGACTTTACAGAAAGTCAACCAGGGGCTGTTTAGTAACTACCCAATATTTGGATTCAGCTACATTTTTAATTAAAATCTAATCAGTTTATCCACAACATCTCAAAGTAACTTTCAGAAAGCAAGAAATCTCATTTATTTAAAACTGATTCAGGTTCAAGCCAGCTGTGTTCAGTTAATTTTTGATCAGATTCAGATGAATCACTTAACTTTAACTCAAATCCCTCATCCTGAGCAAGCACAGGAACCAGAACCAGAAGAGATGACTTTCTGCCTAGATCAGTTTAAAGTGTTAAGCCTGGAACTATCCCTTTTAGATAAGCTCTCCAAGTCTCTGACCTAAATTATATTCTGACAGTTACACAATATATTTCTGTCTTTCGTTGTGATTATTTTGTCCTCTAAGAAAAAAGTCTGTGATGTTATGAAGTTTATTAACTAAGATATTTAAATAGGAGGTTCTTCCAGGTGTGTGTGAAAACTCCAACGTTTACAGTAAAAAGTTATTTGCCTAAATTACATAAAATCTTAACAGATTCTGAGCATCCAGTGAGTTGAAACCATTCCACATATTTTACTGATAAGATAAGCAGCTTTTCCACTGCAGGTTGATGACTACTTTCATCATCCCCCCCCCCCCCCCCCCCCCCCCGGACAAAACAGGTAAAATAAGTATCAAGTTCCAGGACTTCTCAAATGCAAAGAACACAATTCAGCATCAAGTGGCACGCGAACGGTTTCGTAGCAACACAACAACGTCCCCACAACAACAAAGGTCTCAGAAACATGAAACTTTTAGCTTATTATCTCACAGACTCGAATAAACACAGCAGACCTGTGAACGGGGTGTCACACTAGAACACCACCACAGGAATACAAAGTTCTCCACAACAGCCTGCAAACGGCTCAACCTTTTCTGTACCATAAGGAGCTGAATGAGAGCAACACTAATTCACACACAAAGGCACTGCACCTAACATGATGTACAATGCTTCTTTTCATTTATAATGTGAATGCAACACAAAAAAGCCCCAAAAGAATCAAGTTAAACAGTAAATAATATACCAGTTTATCTCAGAAATAACAATGATCTACAAAAATGAAGGTGATTTAGGTCTATCTAAGTCAAATCACTGATCCAGGAGTAGCTCAAAATTAAAGAATAGAATAGAATAGAATAGCATAGCATAGCATAGAATAGAATAGAATAGAATAGAATAACCCTTTACTGTAATTGTGCTCAAAGACACAACAAAATTAAGGGTGCTCCTACTGAACCTTCTTACACTGCAAGATAAAATCACTGTCAATAAAAACACAGAAAACAAAAGAAGAAAAACAGGATATGGCAAGACTTACATGACTAAAAGAATTTAAAAAGTGTGTGTGAGTGTGTGTGTCTCTGGTGGTGTGTGACCTGACTGACCTAGGGACAGCACTTGCTCAGGACGTAGAGCGTGTTGCCCAGTAATCTGAAGGCTGCAGGTTTGATCCCGACTCTGATCAGAGAATGCTGCTGTTGTGTCTTTGGGCAAGACACTTAACCCACCTTGACTGCTGGTGATGGTTGGAGAGACTAGTGGTGCCAGTAGTGTTCGGCAGGCTCTGTCAGTGCGCCCCATGACGGCTGTAGCTACATCCTAACTCATCACTAGTGTGTGGATGTGTGTGTGAATGGGTGAATGACTGATTGTGCTGTGAAGCGCTTTGGGGGGTTGTAGAACCCTAAGAAGGTGCTATACAAATACAGGCCATTTACCATTTAAAGTATTTACCAGGTCAAATAAAGGGTGGGGCATGATGTGTCACCACTGATGACCTTGATTCTCTTGAGGTGGCAGGATGACTTAAAAGTTTTTAAATTTAACTTAATTAGTTTAACTTTAAAATTAAACAGTGAATCAACCAAGTCAGGAGATGCTGCTGCCCCATTTACCTCCCACCTTTCTGTCTCTAGAAGTCAGGTGAAGAGGCAGCTGGAGAGACCGAACAGGAACAAGGCTGCAGGTCCAGATGGTGGCAGCCCCAGGGTACTGAAGGCCTGTGCAGAGCAGCTCTGTGGGATTCTGCAGCACCTCTTCAACCTCAGCCTGGCCCAGAAGAAGGTTCCAGTCCTGTGGAAGACATCCTGCCTTGTTCCAGTTCCAAAGAAAACTCGCCCATCAGTCAATGACGACTACAGACCGGTTGCCCTGACATCCCACATCATGGAGAGACTCCTGTTGGTCCACCTGAATAAGCAAACTAGGACATATCAGGACCCGCTGCAGTTTGCTTATCGCCATGGAGTTGGAGTTGAAGATGCCATCATCCAGCTGCTTCAACCAACCCACTGTCATCTGGACAAAACAGGCAGCACTGTCAGGGTCATGGTCTTTGATTTCTCCAGTGCATTTAACACAATTCAGTCTTATGTACTTTGCCAGAAACTCCAGAAGACACGGGTGGGGGCCTCAACTATCGCCTGCATTAAAGACTACCTGACAAACAGACCACAGTTTGTGAGGCTGAAGAACTGCACATCAAACCAGGCGATCAGTAACATTGGAGCACCACAGGGGACTGTACTCTCACCATTCCTTTTCACCCTGTACACCTCAGACTTCCAGTACAAATCAGAGAACGGCCATCTACAGAAATACTCAGATGACTCTGCAGTTGTCGGATGTATCAGAGATGGACAGGAAGCTGAGTACAGAGAGCTGGTGGAGCGCTTTGTGGCATGGTGTGGAAACAATCATCTGACCTTGAACGTGAACAAAACAAAGGAGATGATTTTAGACTTCAGAAGAAACAGGGTGGAGTCAAACACTGTTTCCATCATGGGAGAAGAAGTGGAGGTGGTTGAGGAATACAAATACCTTGGAGTTCACCTGGACAACAGACTGGACTGGAGAAAGAACAGCGAAGCCGTTTACAAGAAGGGACACAGCAGACTCCACTTCTTGAGGACGATTAGGTCCTTCAATGTCTGTAGCAAGATGCTGCAGATCTTCTACAAGTCTGTTGATGAGAGTGTAATCTCTTCAGCCATCGTCTGTTGGGGTAGTAGCATCAGAAGCAGGGATCTGAAAAGGCTCAACAGCCTAATAAAAAGGCTGGTTCTGTTCTGAGGACGACTGTGGAACCACTGGAGGAGATAATGCAAAGAAGGATTCTCCAGAGAATCAAGAAAATTATGGTTAACCCTGAGCATTCTCTTCACAAGACTGTCCGACAACGGAAGAGTGTCTTCAGTCAGAGGCTTCTTCAGTTTCGCTGCAACACTGACCGCTACTGGAGATCCTTCCTGCCAACAGCTATTGTGATATACAATAACTCTTTGATGACTTGATTATCATTATTATTCTGAGCTACTACAGCAATCAATTTCCCTCTGGGATTAATAAAGTGTTTTTGAATTGAATTGAACAGAGTTTGTAGCACAGAAGTTGTCAGTTTGAGCAACAGGACCTTAAAATCCTCTCGAACCTGATAAAGTAACCAGTGGAGAGGACCATGTTGGAGTAATGAGCTCATATCTCAGTTTTTGTCAAATACAAGCAGCTGCATTTTACACCATCTGCGAACCTCTAAAACAGTTTAATAAAGTACCACCAGACTCTGTAAAGGACTCATTACAAAAAACCCACATCTGACATAAATAAATAGATCCTTCCATAGAGGTTTTAAAACATTATTCAGCAAAATTCCCCAAAAGCCATGTAGTGAATTCAACAGTCCAGGATGTGACTTCCAGCAGTAGCCATTTGCCTGAATAAGAACTGAGGTAAAGCTAATCAGGAAACAGGTGTGACTGGAACAGATTCAGTGGGAGAAAACCCGCAGATTGGCAGTAAATGTTTGGCATGTTGTATTAAATATTGCTGACCTAATCACATTAGACACCCAGAACAGCGAGCGCAGCAGTTATCGGCCAACTGAACACAGTTTGGATTGAAGCAAGATAACAGGAGATAGTTTCAAGGTTTCCAGACACATCTGCTTCTTCCCAGTCTTTCATTTGCGTAATCCTAAACTATGTACTATTCAGCATCATACTTTACAGATATTTCTGAATTATTTGATCATAAAGCAGTTTCAAACTGCTCTTTTGATAAGGACAATTCAAATAGAAGAAAATGCTTCCTCAACAAAATTCCTGGTAGCAGAAATGGCTGATCATTGTCAACGTGTTGCACATCTGCAGAAAGAGCCAGTAAATAATTCCAGAAGCTAAAGTACCTACCATTCACTGAAATAAGGAACATTACTCACTGCCTTTTCTGACAGTGTATGAGTATGATCAAGGTTTTGTAAACAGTGCCACTGTGATTCAGATTCCTTTTGTTGTAATTTCTGTGCAAAAAAGGGTACAGGAACGAAAATTTGTTGCAGCAGCGCAATGCAGAAAGTGCAAACCAGTATAAGAAGAAAGATAAAAAAACATTTTAAACGAATATATAGTAAAAAAAAAAGGGTACCTTAAAAATTCTACCAGAAAGCATCTTAAAAAATATATAATAATAACAGTGAGTTTTAAAAAAAATGTGACATCTAAAACTTCCACAAGAGGAGCAGTGATCATGTGGAGTTCAGCTTTCTGATGGCATATGGAACAGAGCTGTTTAGGAACCCATTGGTCCTACATCCAATGCTGCAGATTGATCTCTGGAGGTACACTAAGCAGCCTTTTATGCTGCACCCGCATGTGCAGCTACTCAAGACCAATTACATGCTACACGCAGCCAGACCAATGGTAATACAGAGGGGTGTGGGCAGGGACAACCCAAGCAGTCAATCAGCCAGTCGCACTGGCACAACAGCATTTGTTTGTTAGTAAGATTGGTGCTTTTTTTCTCCCATTGGCACAGGCCGTAACCCCCCCCCCTCCCCCCTCAAAAGAGTTCCACAATGAACTCAAACTAACAGAACGAAAGCCACAAAAACCAGACCCACCACAAAATGAGTTAAAGACACAAACTACCACAACACACAACGGTAACGTGCACCCTATACAATATACAACAGCCACAGACAAAAAAGAACCATCACACTGAAGTTGCTACGTTGCTACATTAAAAGGACCAAGTAACAATTGATGATACCAACACAAAGTGAACTGCTGTCAAAACGAGGGGCTACACCAAGTGGATCTCTTCCACAGTGAGTTATTAAAGTATCAGACATGGAGCCACCACAACCGCTGTAGCGATGTGCATCCATTGAAGATCCTCTAAGTTTCACTTAAACTCATTTAGTAATTCACCTAATTTGAAGACTAAATCAAAAACTCACACATGCATGCATGCACACAGGCATACGCATGGGCAAAAACAGTATCACCTGTCACTCAAAGGAGAAAAGCTGCAGCTGTATATGTTAGAATAAAAACTAGATTATTGAAACGTTTTGCTGGTGAAACATCACAACATTACATTACACTTAGCTAACATCCTGCTCAGCTGATTATGACTCCTCTTATCCAGGCATCCCCAAATGTGGTAAATCTGACCCAGAACAGCACATGATGATGTTATTCCATTCACCCCTCACTGGGCCACAACCCCATCTATCAGCTATCAAAAGCCTTTTTAGTCCTTTTGCTTTCTGCTTTCATAAATCATGTTGTGTTGTCAGTCGGTTCTTGCTGAGACAAGACTAAAACAGCCAGTTACCGACTTGAACAAGAAATGTAAACTTTGCACCGAAGAGTGGGTGGAACGAGAATCTGAAAGTCTTGGTGAGCCTCTCCGCTGTTGCAAAAATCCAAGCAAGGCTTCACACCAACAGAGAAGCCTGAACAGTAAAAAAAGTTGGAATAAAAGACCGCATGTAGGTTCTGGAATGGAGGCGTGAACACAGATAGGAATGTTCATGTTCTCCTTCAATCATTTTCATCAAATTTCAATGTGACTTTGGCTTCTCTGACAGCAGGAAATGCATCTGGGCTGATATTTAGAAGCCTTAAATGAACTCAGATGAGTGGATGAAAGCCAGCAGGAGATAAAAGAAACTACCGGGAAAACCTTCAGGCAACTAGCTTTAGGGAAGAACCAGGTGTGACGGTGCAGTGAGTCATGAGAGAGGTCTGGAGTAAATTCAGGAATTCTGTCTGTCCCATCCTAAAGGATCAGAGGGTGTGTTCGTGTTCTGTTAAACAGACAGGATCACTTTAGTATACAGAGTGAGTAATAGGGAGGTGGCTGGAATATAAATAACAGATAACTGAAAAATCCACAACAATACAGAAACGCATAGTTATAGATTAAGCTTTATTCTCACATTTGGAATTCCTTTAATGAAAAAGGTGGTTCTATAGGAACGTTTTGACAAAATAACTGGATGAATGTTCTTTTAATCCACCTTTGGCATTTAGAAAATACTTCAATCATTCTTTTTTCTTGTGGAATGGGTAATTTTGTCTTTAAGGTGACCTGAACAATAGAAGAGTGGCAACTTTTAAGAAATATTTCTCTGCAGACTGGATTTTATTTCCTTCTAGGCAGAAACAACAGATCCTATTGTGGGTTCAGATGTCATAGTTCCTCTACAAGTGTAATAACCAACTCAAATCCTGGCAAGCTAAGATTATCAGAAGATTATCTTAAGGTGGAGTTACTTCTTCAGCCTGATACAGTCACGTGATTTACAGTGAACAAAAGTGAAAGTTACTCAGTGACAGCAGGGCTGCAATCACGATCAACCTTTTCGGGTCAGAAACTGACATTTTTGGCATTTTCAGCAGAACAGAACATTAAGGTGGGTAGCATTTAGTGTCTTTTCCACCTACCTGGTCAGATAAAATGTGTGTTTAATGTTGCAGCTCCTCACAAATCTTTCAGAAAGACCCATAAATATTGGAATAAATCTCCTTTAGGATGTTTGGTTACTAACATTCTGGTTCAGACACAATTTTATACTGGGATGCTTTTCAAAAAACGTATCATTTTCCTTAGGAAGCATTTTTTTACTTGAAGCCAATCTGAAGGATTTTGGGACATTTTTGATCTGTTGGCTTTTATAAACTCGTCCACCAGAGGGAGGTGCAGCAAGATCGATGATGCCGAAGCACAAATTAACACGCCCAGAGGAGGACTGAAAACGTTAGAGATAAAACGGATCAGGATTTGTTATTTAAAAAAAGAAATGAATCTGCTCTGTTATTCACCAAAAAAAAAAAGAAAATATTTGCTATCTCAGTTTCTTCTAACTTTTACTTTTGCAGTCAGAGACGGCAACAGGCAGCAATCACCTCACTGAAGATCAGCTTCTGTGCTCCATCTGTTTGGACATGTTCACTGATCCTGTCACCGTGCCATGTAGACACCACTTCTGCAAGTAATGTATCACAAAGTTCTCATAATAATGAGATAGTATTATTATAAGATACTATCTCATAATTATGACATAATAATTTTTTATCTGAGTGACGGGAGTGGACTTCCATAAGAATCAGTGTCCCATCTGCAACGAGAAGTTCAGCGCCCGACCTGAGCTTCACGTCGACAACATCATGGCAGAACGTGCAGCACAGGTCAGAAGATCAGCTGTGGAGAAAGCCTGCAGCAGCTCAGAGCAACAAGTTCTGTGTGACGTCTGCACTGAGAGACAGTTGAATATCAAGGAGATCAAACAGTCAGTGAAGCTTGGCAAAGAGGATGCAGATAAAGTAAAAATAGCCGGCGCCGAGGCCTTCACTGCTCTGATCGAGTCTGTCAAGGCAAGTCTGGCTCAGTTCATCAAAACAATCGAAGGGACTCAGAGAGAAAGAGCGCAAAAGGCAGAAGGCTTCATCAAAGTGCTGGAGGAGGAAATCTCAGAGCTGATGCGAGATAGCTCTAATGTGCAGAAGCTCTCAAACATTAAAGAGCAAGTCACCCCCTACCAAAGTATTACTCCACTCCCACTTCCTGTTTGAAAAATGCAACAAATGTTGTTGCCTAGCAGACCAAAAGGGTGGAGCCGCTAACAAATACACACACACAGGCTCACAACGACATTGCGACATCCTATCGTACCAGCTAACGATCTAGGGTACCTCTTGGCCAATAGCGATGGCAGATTTAAATTCAAATGCAGTGCAGAGTTTTTACTTGACAACGTCACAGCACTGACGTTTTAGGCAGAAATTTTAAATTGTAACTAAAATGCACTAAAGTGCTAAACTATTGACTACACATGTCTGCAGCACGATTACACGCATTTATATAGTTTAACAGAAAAAAATAAGTTGATTTGGGGGTGACTTGCTCTTTAAAGACCACCTACAGTTCTTTCAAAGTTACAGAGGGCTAAACACAGATGTAGATTATAAAGACTGGTCTCAGGTCAGAGTTCCTTCATCACATAAGATGACTGCAAAACGTTCTGTGGCAACGCTGGTGGAGGCTCTCAGCAAAGACATGAATAACCTGTTCAACATCACTGAGCTGAAGAGGGTCCAGCAGTACGCAGTAGAAGTGAATCTCGATCCTGAAACAGCTAACGACAGTCTCATTCTGTCTGATGACAGGAAACAGGTTCACTATGGAGACATACACCAAATTATACCAGGTAATCCAAAGAGATTAGCTAATGTTGCTGTTCTTGGAAAGCAGGGTTTCTCCTCAGGGAAAGTTTATTATGAGGTTCAAGTTGAAGACAGAGAAAACTGGGAGTTAGGAGTGGTCAGAGAGCCTGTAATCGGAAACAAATGTGTCACACCAACGTCTAAGGATGGCTTTTGGATCTTGAGTTTGAGCAATAGCGGGGCATATAGAGTTTCTGCATCAGGTAACATTTACCTGAGCACAGACCCTCGGAAGGTGGGAGTGTTTGTGGGTTATGAGCAGGGTCTGGTGTCGTTTTACGATGCAGAATCTGCAGGACCAATCCATTCATTTACAAACTGCAAATTTAATGTGAAGGTCTACCCATGCCTCAACCCTGGCTATCAGAGTCAGACGACACCCTCCCCCCAATCATCTGTCCATTTGGTGCAGAGTATGTGATGGATGGATGGATGGATGGATGGATGGATATTAGAGATCACTGAAAAACATTGGGGACAGAAATCTTATTTGAAAATAGACAAGACTAACTCCAGTGTGATTACAGTGATAGCAATGGAAAACAAAATTTCAACAATACTGTTTTTTTAATCTTTATTTCATTCAATAAAAAATAACACAACAGACACTAAACAATATTCATGAAAACACAATATATATTTGAATGAAAGGGAGCAGATAGAAGAAAAATCTTATTATTTCTACCCCCTTTTTAAACTTAAATATCAATTTATATTTGTGCAGTCCCTCACCAGTTCTTTCAGTCCCGTAACTGTTCACATTTGTTAATTATTATGTCCACATCAATTGTCCGTTGTCATATCCACTCAACACACGTGATTTAATGTGTAGACTGAACACTTTTAGAGTTCTTGACTCTTTCCATTCTCTGTCCAGGCAATTCCACAACTTCACACCATTCACAGATATACTCATTTCCTTCATTCTTGTTCTAAATTTAGGTTTTTTTGAAGATTTCAAATCCCTTCAACGAATAAATGCTATCTCTCTTTTCAAATATATGCTGAATATTCTTTGGCAATGTACCTTTATTTGCTTTATACATTATATGCAATATTCTCCAGTTGACCAAATCATGAAATTTAATTACTTTATATTTTATAAATAATGGATTAGATGGAGCTGTACTATGAGTGTTGTCTTTAACCCTTTGGTGCATAATGGTCACTACAGTGGACAGGTACTCAAAATTGTTATTTATTTATTTTTGCTATTAAGCACAGCTGTTGAAGACTTTATTGCATGTGAGCCCCTCCATTTGTGCTTCAGCAAGTCAAGCCAACACATTTCATGTTCAGAACGCACACTGTCCCCTGAGTTGGACATGTAATAAACTATTTGTAAATTAACAAAATTTTACAAAAGATATTTGTTGAAATTTGTTTCATTCACACCTAAATATGAATGAAAAAAATTGTTTAAAAAATCGTGGTTGAAGATTTCATTATTCATGCATCAAAGGGATAATTCTCATTGCTTTTTTCTGCAAAACAAACAAAGGTTGTGTATACGTTCTATATGCAGTTCCCCAGATTTCTACACAGTAATTTAAGTATGGCAGAATCAGTGCATTGTATAGTAATAACAATCCTTCACTATTTAGTAGAAACTTTACGCTATATAATACTGCAATGGCTTTGGCCACTTTACCTTTTATATAGCCTATGTGTGATTTCCAGCTTAGAGCTTCATCAATCATTACTCCCAAAAATTTGATTTCTTTTACCCTTTGAATTTCCATGTTATCTATTTTTAATATTACGTCTATATTTTCTTTGTCATTAAATAGAATGAAATTAGTTTTTTTAAGATTAAGTGTTAATTTATTTATATCAAACCAGTTTTTAACTTTTATCAGTTCAATATTTATCACATGAGTTACTTCATTTATATCAGACCCTGAATAAAACAGTGTTGTATCATCTGCAAACAAAACAGAACCTAGTTTGTCAGACACATTTACCAAATCATTGATATACAGGTTGAACAATTTTTGTCCAAGGACCGACCCTTGTGGCACTCCATAAGCAATATTTCGTAGCTCTGATGTAATGCCATTTATCTGAACATATTGCTTTCTGTTATCTAAATAAATTCTGACCCATTGATGAGCAACCCCTCGTATTCCATACTGATATAATTTTTGCAGTAACCTTGAATGATCGATAACGTCAAAAGCTTTCTTTAAGTCAATAAAAACACTAATAAAGTATTCTCTATTGTCTATTGCTTCAGATATTTTCTCTGTTAAATCCATTATTGCCATTGTTGTTGAATGTTGGGTCCTGAATCCATACTGTTCATTATGTAAGATCATATTTTTTTCAATAAATTTATCCAACCGTGATGCAAAGACTTTTTCTAATTTCATTTAATTCTAGTTTAATTGAATAAAATAATTATGAGCTAAAGAAAATTAGCTATGTACATTTGAGACAAAAAATAGAATTAAAAATGTGAAAATAAAATGAATAAAAGTTATTTTAAAATACTTGATCTTTTGATTGAAGACCAAAAATGTCTATTTTGATGGTTTTAAGGCCTAGTCCACACGTAGCCGGGGTTTTTTGAAAACGAATATCCGCCCCTCCAAAAACTTGCATCCACACCACCTCGTTTAAAAAAAAAACTCTGTCCACACCATAGACTGTACATATACTGGACAATTCGATTCCATATGCTTCAATAACACGTTATCTGTCCATAATGGGAGGTGTCCACCACCGCCATTTTGACCATGTCACAGGTTCCGTCCAGCCCAGACAATTCCATAAAAGGGAAGAGAGGAGGCGCTGAGGGTGTGGCTGTAAGGCTGGGCTCGAGTGACGACACCCAGGCGAACTAGCTACGAGCTAACCTGAAGCTAACCCTGGCTAACCCAAAGCTAAAGCGGAGGTGGGAGCCGAGCTAACGGATGTAGCCACCTAGCTTCAACCCAACCGGAGCTAACTGGAACACCCATCGACCTGAACCTTACACGGAGTTTAGGTGGAGGTTTTCTGCGCCTGTTCGTGAGAAGTACCAGTATTAAAAAAGTTTTAAATCGGTAAGTTTATAATTTATTTCCGTAATGAAAACATTTTGCTTTGAGCAAGTTTTCAGTACAGTTTTTTTCGGCGCTATCACTCCTGAGTCGCACCAGCCATTAAATGTATCATGAATAAGAGAAAATATATTTAAGTCGTATTTTGGGGGGACATTTTATTATCTTTCTTACAAAATCTGAGACCAAGCGTTTCACATAGCAACACAAGCACCGGTAACCATAACAGAATGAACAACAGCCAGCAGAGGAGAGGATGGCGGTGTTTCAAACCCTCCCGGCCGGCGAGGACAGCTCATTCCTGGGCTGGAGCCGGCCCTCAGCACCCCGCCACAGGCTCTAACAGATGCTGGCGGTGTTTGAAACCCTCCCAGCGGGACAGGGGAACTCATTCTTGTGTGGGTCGGAGTCGGCCCGCAGCAGCGCGGTGTAGCCTACATATTTTGTTATATAAGTTGCTCTGGAGTATAAGTAGCAGGACCAGCCAGAATATGTAAAAAAGTGCGAGTTATAGTCCGGAAAATATGGCAGTTATTAGTATTCGAGCTAAATTAGCAGCCTAAATACATTTCATATATTTCCAAAATGTGATACTTGTTTGTATCTTGTACAGCCAACTAGTCTTTATTCTGGACTCAGTACAATTTACCAAAAGTAAAGAGACATTCTACAGATGAAGTAAGCACAAGATAACTTACTGGAAGACACGGAATTATCATCAGAACCAGAACAAGAGAGCCTGATAACAGTCGTGAAAATAACAGTTAAAAAGTATGTATGTATAATAGAAATAAAAACATATTAGAATTAGTGTAACTCACTGTGATCCAAACAATAAATCAGCCATAGCTGATTAGTAAATATGACATGAGGTCTGGGAGTTTTTAATTTTCATTTTTATTTTTTTGTTAGATCTGTTTAAATGTCACCATGGCAGCCTGTGTGTCTCCAACATCAGCTACACAAAGCAAGTGTAAGTTCCACATACCTGTCTCACCACTTCATGTATGGTTTTGTACTTTAAACAATTATGACAAACCTGTTATTTTTTCTCCATAGCCATTTGGATCATTGGAGACAGCTGAGTGAGGCGTGGTGCCCAGAGAGCTGCAGAGACAACCTTGGCCTCCCTGACGTCTGTGTCTCCTGGTTCGGTTGGGGTGGACCATCGACATACATACATGTGCCGATACTTTGCGCCCTGTTTTATAAAATGTAGTGTTAAAAATAAATGTTTTTGCTCAATTACTGGAATTTCTTTGGTTAAGACAAAAGTGAGGAATAATCATTTACAAGTTATTTGTACAACAGGCCCATTTTAAATCCCAACAGTTTCTTAGCAGCCAATAGAAATGTGTTCTTAACTAACTTTACTTGGTTTAAAAATCTTACTAAAATAAACTTGAGTGCCGTATTGCAAAACCCAATCATACTTGTTATGTAAACATTAGCTTTGTAGATATTTTTTACAGATATATATTTGTGTGCAACAAATCCAAACTTAAATAGTTTGTCATTCTTTATTGAAAAACAACAAAATACAGTTATACAGAAGTGTGGGAAAATGATAATGTGAAAGTATTGCTATTTAAATGTAATCCTATTTATCTTTAAAAAGGAAAACTCTAAAAATGTCCTGTACAGCATCATGACAGAAGAATGGTGGTCTGTCTGTCAGAATGTGCTGAACAGATTTGCTCTTTGAGGAGGAGTGTCATGTTTGGAGGAAGGTACTTAACCCAAGACATGCAGAATACAACACTGACCAAAAACTGATGGAAAAAAATGATTTATTTATAAGGAGGAACTTAAGGTGCACAGATAAGTCTGTGGTTGGAACTGCAACAACAGCTCAGCATCTGGAGGAGGGAGAACACAGGTGAGCTTAGGTTCTGGTTTCAAAATCCATTGTAGGCAGGCAGAGGTGTTCAGCAGACTTACTGTGGTGGGTGTACGTGTTGGCTGGAGGAGAGAGAGGTAGAGAGCCGGGGGAAGCGCAGGAGAGGGAGCAGAGGTGGAGAGAAGCGGGGCGTCCTGGTGGATGGGGCACTGGGTGAGATGAGAGGTGGGTTATGGAGGGTGGTGATAAGGTCCGTGTGTTGAATATCCAAATCCTGGAGTAGAGGTCAGTATCCAATGAGGTCGACAGGAATCCTGAAGAATGGTAAATCCAATATAAGAGCAAAAACACTACGAAATAACATTAATCCTAGGAACACTAGAGGTAACACGAGTGGCTGGTTACTACCAAAACTGAGGCAATCTTCTGGCGTCAAATTGTGTCCTCCATCCACCTTAAATAGGAAAGCACCCCGCTGATCGCTGATCAGGAACGGCTGGGGTGGAGTCACCAGAACCATGAAGAACGTGTCTCCAGAGACAACTCGGGTCCTGGTACCGATCAGGAATGCGGACCTTATCACCCAAAGCTGCCAGGTCACGCTCAAAGCCTTCATGTTCACGCTGCAGAGCCTGAACGCTGGCCAGGTCGTGGCCGTAGTTGTCTGTGTTCAGGGCCTGGTTCTTCTCCTCGATCCACTCTTTGGTCTCATCAGCGTCTCTGAGAAGACATCAGAACTCCGTCTGAGTGTGGGTCCAAACTCTACTGACCCGTAAGCGGCGCATAAGTGTGTGGGGTACCTGTGGAAGCGCTGCACCTCATGGGCGCTGCCCAGCATGTTGCAGCGAGCGCCAGCGGTTGTTCAGCTCCTGGAGAGAAACCAAACCCAGTGAGATGAAGGTGGACGCCAGCGGGCTGGACGCCGGACGAGGAAACCTGGAGACGGATCGCTCAGACAGGAAGGGAAGAGCTTCCTCTTACCTTGATGGAATTAAAGTTAGCCGTCGTCTGAACGCCCAACCGTACGGTCTGAGGTCAAAGGTCACAGGAAACACACACCAGTCAGCAGTCATACAGATGCATAAAGATAACTGTAGCCATGGCAACCAGCTGACATGTCCCCACTTTCACCAGCACCTGGTGCCTGCCGGGTCACCTGAATTCCTATGTGATGTCAGCACGGTCGGCCGTGACTGCGGCCATCAGAGGTGACCTCTGATCAGCTGAATGAACTCACCTTCTAGGGTGACGCCGTGTTACCCCGGGTTTCCACGGGAGCCGTCAGCAGCACGTTACTGCAGCAGCACGTCTTGCTCGCGTAAGCTGCTGCTTGGCCCTTCCCACGAGACGCGAAGCAGCAGGGGAGCAGCTGTCACCGACCGAGCACGAAGTCACTCGAGTGACTTCGTCAGTAAACACAACAACAAGCAGGAGAAAACTACAACATGGTTTGTGTTTTATGTTCTGTCCGTTTTATAATCGCCAATACGGACCTGAAAAACAAAGGAGACCGCTAGCTAGGTGATAACTTCTCACGGGGCCGCTCAGTTAGTAACCTTTTTTAAAAGTAAAGCAACCGGAAGGCAGTACGTTCTTTATTCTGAAAATCTCGGTAGCTTCTCTCAATTTCCGCGTCCGATTTCCTGTCTTTCCTTCCCCAAAAATGTCGAACTTGACCCGTTTCAGAGGCGTCGCGCGTAGAAAATAGAACCGGCGCGTAAAGGCCGCGACATGCTGCTCCTGAGACGCGGCCGACTCGCGCTGCTGACGGCTCCGGTGGAAAAGGTTCTGTTGACCACAGCGGTTCCTATCAGCAGCTATGACGTGCTGCTGCAGTAAACGTGCTGCTGACGACTCCTGTGGAAAGCCGGGGTTAGAGTCGGCTTCATCCTGTAAACAAACAAATGAGTGGTAACAAAAACACCACGTCTGGTTCTGGTGGAGGCGGAGGACAACACGCACCTTTCCAGGAGCAGAACCCAGATGTTCTTGTTGCTACAAACAGAGACGAGCAGAGTTAACAAACCAGGAAGTGAGAGGGACCAGCTGCTGCAGACAGGTGACGCTCACCTGAGCCTGAACCATAGGAGCCTCCTCAGCCATCAGACCTTCTGACTCCAGTTCAGATGCCACCTTGTTGATGTCCCTCAGGCGGGACTCGTTGGCCTTCAGGTCCTGCAGGACAAAAGCACCTGCTGATTATCACCTGAGCTGATCTGACAGCTGCTGCTGGAAGACAGAGAGGAGGAAAAGTCCGACCTTCTGGAAGTCGTCAAACTTCTTCTGCAAGACCTCGACCTGCTCCAGGTCCGACCCGTCTCTCCATCCTCATTCAGCTAAAGACGCGAGTTCAAGTAAAACAACCTAAAGTCACACAAACACAAAGCAGGTGTGGAGATGTTCGCTCTGAGCTGGAGGTCGTTCCTCGGCTGTGAAGGGCACACGAACCTTGTTGGTGCTGTTGAGCAGCGTGAGGATGTCGCCCTTCTTCATGGTGACCTCTCCAGGACTCTTCTCCTGGTAGTCGTACAGAGCCAGAACCAGCTCCTTCCCGGTCTCATCGTCAGTTGGAGCCACTTGTTGCTGTCGGGTTAACAGGTCTGGTGTTAGAACGTGGTGGATAAGAATGTTCTGACGGGCCGAGGGTTCTGAACCAGCGAAGTGACCTGGACCCAAACAAAGTGAGCCAGAACCTGCAGACACCTCAGAAACATGTCAGGACCAGACCTGCTCTACCTTCCTCCATTATGGTCTCTCCTTTCTGGGTGACAGCCTTGATGCGAGGTTCATGACCTGTGATCTCAGCCTGCAGAGCCTCGTGCTTCTTCAGCAGGTTCTGGACACCAATCAGGTCCTTCCCTGAGGACACATGTTAGAGTTCAGCATTATGCAGTAGACAGACCAGTTTAACCCAGGGGTTTCTTTCTTCTACAATCTGCTCTTTAACTGTATTATTTCCTGCTATTTCAGCTGTTAACTTTATTTTTTCTGTAAGTGTTTTTCTCCCCAAAAGAAGCAACAATGATGCTTTGCTGAGCTGTGGTGGCCTCATGGAGGGGGCCATCGTCTAGCACACTGCTGCTAACCACTTAATCATTCTCCCTCTCCTGATAATAACATTTTACTTTCTTTGATGTTGGATGTACTACTGCTAGTTTACCCGTTTAATTATAGATTCACTAGGATAAATACAATAAAGTTTATCTCTCGCCAAATAGAATATTTACTAAGAAATCACAATGTAACGTGTGTGTGTGTGTGTGTAAAAGCCATGCGTAGTGTTTATTTATAAAGCATATGTTGTTGGATTTTATCCAGAATCTAGACTTTGAAAATATATAGTTTAATTACAGTTTGATTTATTTGACATCTGTATAATGTTTATTATTTTGTTTTTTCCCCCTAAATACCTAACGTTTTAGTTAACATGAATATTAGTCATTCATCCCAATACATGAAGTTACACATTTTAAATTTTAATAGGGGAAGACTGCAGGAGGGAGCAGTAAAATACAGGGGGTCCCCTGCAAAAACTAACTTTATGAGTCTGATGAAAATTGCTGGTATTCCCGCTGCTTCTTCGGTAAACAGCGCCAACAAAAACAAAGAAACTTGGGATCTTGTCGGCGTGGCAGTGGGATTTAAGGGAAACGCTGTAAGCCCTATAGACTTCTCAACGAGCTGCAGTATTTCTCCGGTCAGATCTGTCTCCGAGTTCCACGAGCGGTCAGCCCGCAGCAGCGAGGCGCCGCATCGATCAGCCTGCCCGGCCTGACCGCTGGGGATTACCGGATGAAAGAATAGAGCACAGAAGTGTCCCCCCAAGCGGCGCGCCCCGTCATATTTCAACCCATTTTTATCTTAAATGCACTGGGTTTTACCCTATTACCCATTTAAATATGCCCTATTAATTATTTTACCGTATTTTACATTTAAATTTCATGGTTAAACAGTACATGCTACATGTTAAACTGATAGTTAGCTAGCTACTTCGGTAAACTCAGCTAGTTTAAAGGCAGCAGTGACATAAAATACAAATATAGATTTTAACTTACCGAAAAAAATGAAGTGGAGACTCCTTGGACGCTCTATTAGTGCAATTAATACCACTGCAAGTCATTTTGTCCAACAATTGCACCAATATTATCCAAAACAGAATTCACAAGCACAGAGACTCAAAATCCCGACACAGTTTCCAGGAGAGACCGAGGCTGTACTGAGGCCTTTCCACGGAGCTAGCTCTGTGGTCACGTGGGTCTGAGGCGGCGGTCACGTGTGTTGGATGCTCATTAATTATACAGAATTTTAGGCTTTCAATACACTTAAACAGAAGAGTGAGAAAAAAATTCACCCCCCTCAGAGTTGTCATGAGTATAAACTAGATAATTTAGACAAAAAACCATTTTTTGAACCAGGCTGTAAACATGTTTATTTCTGCTGTGAAAATGGCATTTTTAACATGGGAGTCAATGAGGATTTGCTCGCTTCTGGTACCAGCCCCCAGCGGATGAGGGTGGAACTGCAATTTTTCTTACTTCCGGGTTGGGACCATTTTCTGAGCGGCATTGTGGGGGCTTGGTCCACACATACCCGGATAAATACGTTGTTAAGGACATGCCAGACCTGTAGGCGGCAGTACTTCCCCCGTTCTTTACATCGTCCTTCGTCTGTGGTCTTCCGCAAGGAGCAGTAATTCCGCTTGCAAAAACAAACAAGCAGAAAGCGCTTGGACAATTGATGGATCGAGTAGTGACAGAGCGCAGCTCTGAGGGCTTCCATGATGTCGGCTAGTGTAAACACAGGTCGCACACGTGATGTCAGCATTTTTTGTCGCGGAAAGTGACGTTGCGGACCTTAAAACTCCGGTTTTGTCTGTCCACACGCAGACACCCAAAACGGAGAAAACGCAGATCTTCACTTTGGCCGGAGTTTTTAAAAAGATCCGTTTTCGTGTGAAAAAACTCCGTTTTCGTGTGGATGACAGGCCAAAACGTAGAAAAATATCTACGTTTTGGCAGATCCCCGGCTACGTGTGGACAGGGCCTAAATCTAATTTAAATGTTCATTTAACTCTGCAGAAACTCACATGTATGCAAAAGTTCATAGAATGACAAAAACTAATTACTTTGCCATAAAATAAACTTCCTCCCCAAACCCCATACTGATGTAAGCTTGTGGACCAACATCTGAGACTGTCTTCATGATCCCACTCAAGGACTTTTGACCTTGACAGGAATGTGTCGGTGGTGGAGGTGTGTGGCATTACCAATCATAAGTGGACCAAAGTTCAACTTCAGGCTGTTGTGTGTTGTCTGACCTTTACACAGCTGTTTGGCATGAAGGCACAGAATTGAGGTGAAGAGTCAAATGATGGACGCAGGTGTGAGCAAGTGTTACAGATGAAGGATTTGGAGCTTGTTCTGCTGAAAAAGCAGAGTTGTGTTACACGTCACCACCGTTCCTGGTCTGCTGTGAGAAAAAGGCTGTGGCCTGAAGAGATGTGTGAGGCTGCACGTATGCTGCTCACAGGGCGGGAAGTGTGTGTGTGTGTGTGTGTGTGTGTGTGTGTGTGTGTGTGTGTGTGTGTGTGTGTGTGTGTGTGTGTGTGTCACCTCACCACCAGTCAAACAACTTTTCCACAAATCAGTTGTCTTCAGCTTGACCACATTTACTGTTGGATTTATAAATCTTTTATGCAAGCATACAGTTATAATGTACAAAATGCTTTTATGGTGATCATGATGTCACTAATTCTGGTTTTCATAGAAAATATTTTTCCTTGGAAGAGCAATCACCATAGAAATGTGTTTTTTATGATTATGTTTAACTGTTTTTTGTTGTTTGTATTGATTTTGTTAGTCTGTGTATTTCATATTTTATTTTAACATTTTTTATGGACTTTTACATTTTAATGTATAATAAAACTATTTGTATAAAAATATGTAAATATTTGTCATCTTTATGAAATAATGAAAGTGTAATGAAACTGTTTTCAAGTAGCCCATTTATTTTTCACACTCTTCACTCCATACTTTGTTCATTTCAACCAGTAATCCTGTTTATTTGAGATAGATAGATAGATAGATAGATAGATAGATAGATAGATAGATAGATAGATAGATAGATAGATAGATAGATAGATAGATAGATAGATAGATAGACATCCTGTTTATTTGAGACAGACAGACAGACAGACAGACAGATAGATAGATAGATAGATAGATAGATAGATAGATAGATAGATAGATAGATAGATAGATAGATAGATAGATAGACATCCTGTTTATTTGAGACAGACAGACAGACAGACAGACAGACAGATAGATAGATAGATAGATAGATAGATAGATAGATAGATAGATAGATAGATAGATAGATAGATAGATAGATAGATAGATAGATAGATAGATAGATAGATAGATAGATAGATAGATAGATAGACATCCTGTTTATTTGAGACAGACAGACAGACAGACAGACAGACAGATAGATAGATAGATAGATAGATAGATAGATAGATAGATAGATAGATAGATAGATAGATAGATAGATAGATAGATAGATAGATAGATGATAGATAGATAGATAGATAGATAGATAGATAGATAGATAGATAGATATAGATCGATATCGTATGTCTATTGATGGTGAAGTTAGTGGGCGAGCGCCATCTGGCGGCGAACGCCAGCACTGAGCTGCAACGCCTGCAGCCTCCACCTGTTGAGGAGACCCTGCAGCTGCTCCAGCACTAAAAGCATCAGTCCCTCTAATAATTCCAGACTTTGACGTATAAATCAGCTGTCAGTGATCTTCCATTAAAGATAGCTCATTGGGAAAAATGTGTGACGTCATTTGAGATTCTCGTCCAATCACAGGAGAGCGCTCGCGTTCTGCGATTCAAACCGCCGGTCTCGAGCTGTTTCACTTGCCTGCAGCCGGCTCCCAACTGGTAGGATCCTATAAAACTGATGTTTTAAGTTCTAATAGGAGCACAGTTGAGCCGCGATAAACCGAAACGTAGGTTCTAGACGGTTATCCACGGCAGTAACGGTCCGATCGGGGCTTCCAGTAACTGCGCTCCTCAGGTGTTCGGCTAACTGTAGCAAACGTTAGCGTAACTGTTCTTTTGAGCAGTTTGGGTCAATAACGGATCAAGTCCAGCTACTGTTTCAGGTTTGGAGATTTTTGGGTCCTGCAGGTATTCTGCAGGTGTTGTCAGTGATGAACTTACAGGCAGTTCAGTCTGAGGTCAAATCTAAAATGCAGTTTTAGCACAGGGTTGAGTTTTTCTAGAAATAATTCTTGCATCTGAGATTCAGAAGATTAAACCGACCAAAACATGTTCAACAGGAAATCTTTCAATAATTCCAAATTATAATGTTAAAATCAGAGGATCATGCTTAGATTAGCGTGTTTAGTAGAAATCTGAGTTAAAAACATTCACAAAAAATTATTTTAAACTGTCTGGTGTTAAGTCTGTGCTATAGATGTTTTATTTTAGAGCATTAGTGTATTCGTTTGAACTAAAGTCCCTTAAAGAGCTGGAATCGTTCAGATCAAACTCCTTTTTTAGGTATTTAAAAGTAATATGTTGGAATAATTTTTCTGCACAACCGCTTAGACATAATGAGTTATAATAAACCCTTAAAATGTATTAGTAATTTTATTTTATTTTTACATCTTTGCCTGTCAGGTTGTCCTCGTAGTGGGTGAAAGGTCATCTGAGCAGCAGAAATGAGTCGCAGGAGTCACAGATCCAGGTAGACACCACTCATCATACATCTGCCCCTCTCACCTGTCTCTCACCCACTTACATGCTCACTCATTCATTTGGAGGCAGTCATTCTGTAGTGGTGTTTAAACCTTACCTGTATTTTATATTCACCATCTAGGGTCATAGAAACTCAATGAGCCTTTGTCTCATTATGACCTTGGAGAGGACATTAGCTCATCTCTGCAATTGGTTTCTAGGATGATGTCTTCAGAGGCAAATGACACACAGATGGGTCCATTTTGGACCCTAACTTTTGTTTTGATCAGTTTTTTTTTTTACAGCTCAAAGACTGGCTCCGGATATCGAGCGAGATTCTCCAGAGTTTCCCTAGAAAAGCATGACTGGACACCAGAGGAGGTAATCCTGGGTCATGATGATGATAATTAAAATGATGATGATAGTGGTGGGGATGATGATGATAATGATCTTCATCCTCAGGATGGGAAGCTTCATCACCTGATTAAGGAGTATGGCACCAGCAGCTGGCCTGTGGTCGCGCACCATTTCAGAGTCAGTGTTTTCACATCCCCTCTGCTCAGATTACTCGAAAAACAACAAAACAAGCAAGAGGGTCTCTCTCTCTCTCTCTCTCTCTCGCTCTCTCTCTCTCTCTCGCTCTCTCTCTCTCTCGCTCTCTCTCTCTCTCTCAGGGACAAAGGTCACAGCTGCACTGTCAGCGCCGCTGGCAGCAGATAAAGAATCCCCAGCTGATCAAAGGTCCCTGGACTCAGAAGGAAGACCACAAAGTAAGGACTCACCTGCCGTCCAGTACTCCATTCTCACCTGTGGCACTCACATGATATCATTTCCTGTCCAGCTCACAGATCTGGTCAAAAAGTATGGCTTAAAGCGCTGGTCGCTCATTGCTAAGCAGCTCTTCACCCGAAATGGGAAGCAGTGCCGCGAACGATGGCACAACCACCTGGACCCGACGGTGAAGAAGAGCAGCTGGACTGTGGAGGAGGACCAGATCTTGTGCCAGGCCCACCGGCTGCTGGGCAACCGTTGGGCTGACATTTCCAAGCTGCTGCCTGGCAGGTGCATCATCCTGCCTGCAGGCTATAACAGGTGTGTTGAAGTGACTCACCTGCTACATATCTTTTCTCAGGACAGATAACTCCATTAAAAACCACTGGAACTCTACCTTGAAGAGGAAAGTGGAAAAGGAGGGATACCTGCACATTCTGTGCCTTCACAGCTCCTCCAGCTCCACGTCCAGACCTCCATCTCAAACCTGTGGCCCCGCGATAACAACTACCATCCCTTCCAAGGTCCCCCCCCAACCCACCCGCACTAACTTCCAGCCAGCAGTTTGATCTGATGTAACAATAATGTGTCTTCCAGCAGGCGGACAGTCTGTCCACATTGAAGGATGAGTCCAGCTTCTTCATCGATCAGAGTGTGGACAGACCTCACAGAGGCTCCACCTACCTGCACTCTAACCACGCCTCCTCCTCTTCTGGGAGTATGTGCAGGCTTGTAACATCTTCAGAGCTCACGGAGATGGTAACAGGCTTTTACTTGACCTACCTGCCCATGACTTGGGCTTTTATAATTATGAAAGTAAGCCATGTGTGGTAAAATAAGCCCTCAGTTATGTCTGTCAGGCTGCCATTCTTCCCGCTGTGTCATTTTATAGTCTCATCATCAGAACCCAGCGGCTTCAGTGTTTGTCTTCTAAAATGGTTCCGATCCATCTCGCCCACAGGACCTGGAGGAGTGGAACTGTGACTCAAGGGAAGTAACCTCACATCTTAAACCTTCCCTGGTGACCGAGTCTGACTACTCACTTAGAGACGACTCTAACCTCTCCTTCGTACACCTCAGCAGAACCTTTGTAAGACTACACAGAACACAGATGCAGTGTAATGCTGAAACAAACCTTAGATCTAAATTAATACAACTGATCAGTGGACCAGCAGCAGTGGGACTGGACGCCTGGTCCACATGGACCACAGCTTTATGTTTATGTCCAAGTGAGAAGGATCAGTCCTGATCTTAGACCTGTAGGTGTTCTGATTTTCACTCAAGGACCGGTTGGAGATCTCTGGATCATGCCACCCTGGTCTTTGACCCACAGTCTATAGAAACCCTGGAAACAAGCCTGTATGGTTACTGGGGTGGTTCTGGTCTAGATGTTGTCCAGGAGCAGGTGAAGTGAAGCCTCTGTTATCTTCAGGTTGCAGGTATGAAGGTGAAAAGTGAAAAAGGAGGTTCCTTTCTGGAGTCTTCCTCCTGGACAAGAACTGGCACCATAGAACAAGAACCACTGTCTCCTTCAGAGGTGAAGACCACCACAGACTGGTCCACACATCTCCCCAATTCCAACAGCTGATTATTGCTGTCCTCATCTGTCTTTGTCCTCACCTTTCCTCACCTCTCCATTTTCACCTGTCCTTACTTCACTGTCCTCACTTCTCTCTTTCATTCCCTGTCCCTTCCTGTCCTAGATGATGAGTCAGTGTGGTCCAGATCAGCTGACATTCCAGTGTCCAATCCTCACCTCCACCCCCTTGTCCTTGTTGAAACATCCCTCCATCAGGCAACAGGAAGGCTGCTGTGACCACTGCAGCTTGAGCAGTAGGTGTGTCAGCTTTCTGTTTGACCCTTGACCTCTGTTAACCTTGAGCTTGACCTGAGCTGTCTGTGCCCAGGACACCTGTAGAGACCCGAGAGAAGATTCAAGCTTTGCTGATGTCAGCTCCTTCGACTCCGACACCGATGAAGATCAGGAACCATCAGAACCAGGTGAGTCTGGAGCCGGTTCAACCACACTGAGCATGTGCAGACAGTGGCACTGTCAGATGAGTCTAGCTTGTATTTAGTCACCCAGCAGAACATTATCCACTGTGTCACACTCCGTCCCCTTCCTCCCAGAAAGAACTGCCTTCAGACTTCAGATTGTGTTGGTTCTCTTTCTGACCATGCCAGAACATGAAACTGACTGTACAGGTGCTCCTGATTTCTGATCTGCAGGCGCATGGCGAGTGTCTGCTGAGCTCCATCCTGCAGAATCAGAACCAGTCCAGCTCAGTGCAGCATCAGCTGGGCCATAAGGATTCTGGGTCCCAATCCAAAGTCCCTACAGGGTTTGGTTCCGATCCGTGCTGTGAAGAGCTTGGTTGTTTTCCAATAGATGAACAGGTGGAAGTGTGGTGGACTCAGCAACCTGAACCTCACCTGGACTCGCCTGACTTTTCGACTTTCAAGATAAATCCTTTTGAGGTCAGAATCAGAACACTTTTAGAAACTTGCTGAAATTTGAATTGAGAGTCAGACCTTCTTGTGTTTGGTCCGGGTTAGAATCTTGTTCCTCCCAAAGTTTTTGTCTCCAGGCGAGTGGAGAGCTGCAGGTGGTGTTTGGGAAGACCCAAGACCAGGTGAGTCTGACAGAACAAGCCAGACTCTACTTTGAGCCGTGATCCATCTCCAGAACTTGACCCTGATCCTGCAAGTGGTGAGTCTTAAAGCTGGAGTTGGTAGTTTAATAATGTTAAAGTGGCACTTCACTGAAAAACCATGCCTGCCCAAGTCTGGCAGATCTAAGTCACTCTGTCACTTTAAAATTCATGGACTCACCCATCTTGACTCGCAACGGGGAAGGCTGTTGTTGGTTTAGCGTCCAGGAAACAGCAGCAAACGTCTCGAATCGAAGAAGCTAACTACTAGCATTAGCAACTCCAGGCCTGTTGCAAGCTTTTCAAAAGTGTGGGGGATGTTGTCTGTGCCTAAAATAATTTCATGTTATTCATCTTAGTTTAATTTCTATAATAGTGGGCAGGTGTGAATTTTAGACGTGTCACGCATGTCTCCGTTTTAAACATGTTTAAACTGTTCAGAATACAAATCCAGACTCTGTCTCGTTAGATTGGTGTAACTAAAGTTTGTACTCAATGAAACTTTAAAATTAAACCATGTTGAAAAGAAAAGGATCCGATTAAATCGTTAAATTGTCATGACGCATCCAGTCTGTCTGAGGCAGAATAGCCTCTTCAGCTCAGAAAGCACCTGTAGAGACATTTGATTACACACAAAGGTTATGTGGAGCTGAAGCGGTCGGGCCACGGCAGGTGAAATGTTCCTAGCCTACATCATGAGGTGAAATTGTTTAATTGTAACATTAATATGGTTGGTTAGACCAGTGTTTGAAGTGGAAAACACACACACACACACACACACACACACACACACAAATGCTCACACACCAATTAAAATAATGCTGATAGCATGGACTAGAAGACAGGTGATGGTTTATGTATTTAAATGATGATCAGGCTGCTGTAAAATGTAATCTCCATCCACATCCAGACAGAATTATCCTCTACTGTATTCTTTCTCTGTTTGCTCTGCTCTTGTCTGGGCTGACGTAGCTGACGGTGCGCGCGCCGCGCATAGCGGCTGTGATGCACATTTTACACATTTGGAGAGATGGGCTGGATGCTTTGCTTTTACTGGAAGATGGATTTTTTTTTTATGTCAGAGATTTTGCCCCATGAATAACCGTAAAAACTACCGGTGTGCATGTGCCCTTATGAAAGAGTCCTACGTTGAGAGGTTAAATATTAGAAGTGCAGTTAATGCATTCTGGTGCCTATAAATGAAAAATGAATGGAAATTAAATTGTGAGTTTTTACTTCATATTTTAGAAATAAAAATGATGGGGAAAAAATTTTATGACGTCTTTTTAAACAAAATTTTCTAGCGCGACCTGCCTGCTTCAAAATGACCGTGACCCACCCAAAAATGAAAACCTGGCGCCGCGCCTGTTATAAACCTCTGCAAATTGTTGTTCTTCACTTTATCAAACTGAGTTTGTACAGCTAATGTCAAGATGTAAAACTATGAATTCAGTCGAGCTCTTCCCTCCCTCCCTCTCCTGTTTCTCCTTGAAACCCGACATCGGCTGTCGGGTTTCAAGGAGAAACAGAAGAAGGAGGGGAAGAAGGAAATGAGGCAAACAGAGTGAGTGCGAGAAACCAGACTGGTGTGGAGGTGAGCAAAACGGCTGGAAAAGTGTGGGTGTTGAAACCCCTACATCCCCCACGGGTGCGACGCCCATGAGCAACTCCACCACACTGAGGAACTCCTCCAGGCTTGTGTTATTTTGTGAAGATAAAACATCAGAATTAACGATAGAGTCACGTTGCTGTTAGCCAATCAGAGGTGAGATGTCAAAAAATCAGGAAATGAGTCGTCTGAAGCTCAACTCTGACCTGGCTCACTTCTAGTTCTTGAAGCAGGTTCACCAGAGCTTGTTTTCTCCCCCAAGTATGACTTACAAGGCATTCATACTAGATAATACTGCAACTGTATGAAACAAATATGAGTTAAGTACCACTTTAAAGTAATTTATAAATGTTTACATTTCACTATCTGATCTATCTGTTCTAAATATATTTCCCTGAAGTCCTTCCCCTGGTCTCTATCGCCTATTGTCACTGATTCTAATGACTAATTTATATTGCCTTGACTAACTAGAGTTGCTTATTCACAAGAAGGAGCTGTCAAGCAATGATAGTGCGTCCCAGTTCCCAGCATGCACAGCGGGGTGATGCTCTGACGCTTCAGTTAGCTTAGCACCCAAACCTAGCTTGAATGCTAACTCGACATGCATTGAATTAATGTCAGTCTGTTCTGTACACTTCAAGCTAACTGTAGAAAAGGAGGGATGGGGACAAAAAGGGATCTATCTTTTGTGTATTGGGGGTGGGACAGGAGCTATAGCCTTTCACAATTTCAAATCTCCCCTTGATGACATCACACTACAGTCCCCAGCTTTAACAGACATGATTAACAGTTTGGGGTCTTTCTTTAGTCTATAGAAAAATAAACCTAAATGAACTTTGCAGGTGTGATTTTAGCTTGAGCTGACACAGTGACTGGAGTTTTAAGCCTAACACCCTCATGTAGCTATTTGTGTTGCCCCCGTGGGATGGGCACACCAATGGCCGTGTTCCAGACGAGCCAGTTCTGCGCAGCTTCGATCACCAGTGATCAGCGCGCAGTGCATGCCAGTCAGATTCGTGTCCGACTTGACGCCGACTTGCTCTGACGTCGCATCTACGTAGGCAACGATAACCTCGTGAGATCAAGGCTGCTACAGATTTTGGAGCATGGCACTGCAGTTGCTCTCCACCAGCTGCAAAACCTAGGGCATGACGGGAAACGCCTGGCTCTCACCTGATCTAAGATCTGATTGGTTCACATTCTGGTCCAAACATCTGGTGGTAGAACATGAAATGTTAGTTGGTCACATGTATTCTGTAAATCATGTAACGTTGATGATGACAACTACATAAGGCCATAAAGAGAAATGTGATTTCCTAAAAGCACACTAATCTACAGCTGATAACCTTTATTATTATTAGTCATATGTTCATTTGCACATGTCTATAATAGATGATATCCACAAGCAGTGAGAATGTGTTTCAGTTACTAACAGGCACCAGAATTTTACGCTATTATGAACGCTAACGCGATATCTTCAGCCATCGTCACCCGCAAGCTACATGTAGGGAAATCTGTCCGACTTAAACGCCGGCTTTTAGCCACTCCCCCTGCTGCGTCCGTCTGCTCTCGTCTCTTTTCCAGGCAAGGCGCTGCTCATCTCGAGCAAGATCAATGTCATCAGCTACAGAGTAGTGCCTACAAATTTATGCACCTGTCTAATTTTGTTTAAACAATCATTGCACAATTTCTGTAAAACTTAGAAACTTGGTTTCACTTGTTGTTTCATATCTCCTTCTCCTATATGATATGTAAAATTGAACATTTTTATTGTAATAACCAACAATTCATGCAGGAAAGTCATGAAGATTAACAAGACTGCCCAAACTGTAGCTAAAACCGAAATGAGTCCTCAGGTGGACACCCAACAAGACCTGTTTCCTCACTCATCTTTGGGAAGATGAGCAGATTTGTCGGCTCTTAAAACCACTGAAGAGTTCAAACAGAACATAAACGCCTCAGGGAGATGGGGATAGAAAACACAACCGTCTGTGTTTGCTACAGGTAGCCCTGCCGTCAGGCAACCAGACCAATCAGAACGGAATGATCTCACCTGGTTTGTAGCACATTGGCAATTTGAGTGAAAAGAAGCCCAAGCATCAGAAGAAACTAGAAAGGGATTTAAACTGGAAGAACCAAACTAAACCTGGGTTTGGGAAAAATACTTTTGACTCCAAAATAGTTTGATTCTGTTTTCTACTAAATAAAATCAGGATTTTTACAACTAAAGCAATATTTTTGGTTCTAAAGGGATATGGTACCATGTCCACAACCTACAGGTACATGCACACTGACAGCCTTACAGGTGTTAAGTGGGCGGGGTCAGGTGTTTTATTTCTCAGACCCTCAGTATAACAAGGATATACCCAATAACCCGCATCTGCCCTGGTGACCCCATAACCTTTAAGCCAATGATTTAAGATGTGTAGATAAGAACAGAGCTTTAGTTCAGTAGTGTAACCATAGTAACATCGGATGGAACCTTTCAAAATAAGAGCTGATTGACCTTTATGTGATTCTTATTTAACAGATTCAAGCCTCCTCCTGCTGAGCCAGCTGGTCTGGAATGGGTTTGACCTGTGACCCTGACAGTCACTCTGTTTGATTGATTTCTTTACCAATTGTTTCTGTGAAATAATTTTAATCAGCACTTTTTTGGTTTTACCTAACTTTGTGGGCTTTTATCTGATTTTACCGTCAGATTTTTACCTGATCTCGTTAGATTTCACCTGATTTTAATGTCATGGTTTGTCAGATTTTTATCTGATTTGATTGTAAAATTTTTACCAGTTTTTATTCAGAGGGTTTTGTTTACTTTTTTTAATGTTGTTGCTTGATTTACTGAACCTCCTAGTTTCCTGTTCAGGTGAACCCATTTTTCTTGTCATGCCACAATTGATTTCTTTCTTTATGGAACACAACGACACTTTACATGAAACTTTTGCACACAGTCGACTTGGTTTTAAACCAGAGCATTTTATCTTTACTTGAATGTTTAAAAGAAAATAAGCTGCTTTTATTTTGTCTGTTATTTAACCTGCAGAACACGTGACCAGCTTTAGGCCACTGCAGCAGGAATTTGCACCTAATGGAGCTTGTTTTTATTTGTCTTCATTGTATTTTATTGTAATAAATAAATTACTGAGTCCAATAGAACAGAGTTCTGTTGTGTTTTTCTAGTTTATTAGAACCCAGGTTCTGTTTAAGATTTCCTTTGGCTCTAAAAAGACCTAACATTTAGTCCCAAACAGGAGATGGACTCTGAGATTCCTGAAGACTCTCCACCTCTAGTGGTCATCTTGAAACTGTTCAGCTTGGACATGAGCTCCTGGACCTAAGGAGTGCACTTGAATCTGGTCTAACAAAGATGGAAGGGGATGTTATTTGTCAATGCTGGATCAGAATTTCTGTTCTCAAACTGGTGCTTTTGCACCCTCTAGTGGTCATCTTGAAACTGGGGGCTGTATTGATGGGATGTCCTGGGGGAACTGATTTACTTGTGCAGATATCACCTCATGCTGGCAGTACGCTGACCCTGGTCAGACTCAAAACTACTTAAAGGCTGTAAAATAAAAGGTGAGGAAGGTAAAAATGTCTGTAGCCTCTTGCACAACCCAGACATAATGGGATGTTATTTAGACACAACTTCCAAACTTTTTTCCTACTTAACAAAACTAAAAGCAAAAATGAACAAGATGAGGTTTATTATGAACAAGTAAAAGCAACAATATACAGTAAATATGAGCAGAGAGAGCAGTAGCGTAATATACTAAAATGCTAGTTTATACTTGAGTTAATTCTCACCAACACCTAATTATTTTATGTTTTTACATTTGGTCAAACTAAACCTGGGGCTATTTACTGAGAGAAACAGCACACAGTTATATAATGTGTTAAATTCAAGAGTGATGGAACATAAATAACTAAAGATGGGAACCAAACACACAAGTTGAAGCTACTAGGTGCCCCCTAGTGGCAGGCTGCAGAAGCCAATAAAGGGTGTCACATTACACATCCTAATGTGCAGATTTAAATCCAACATCTCAGTTCATTACTGAGTTATGGAAGAAAAGCCATCCTTAAATTTTTATACATTTCAATACACTAATTTATACATTTTGAACCATCACCAAGCATCACTTGATATTTTGAGCCTAGGCCCACCCACCCCTATTCTGTGTCCATCTTGTTTTTTTGGGGTGGGGGCTTCTGTGATTTTTCAGGAGACGCTGAAACGAGTCCTGTTGTGAAGAGTTTGTGCATCATTTAGATCAGAACAAATCTATTTCTCCAAACTTTAAAAAGCTATCCACAACAGGTTACATGCTAAATGCTAATGATCTTTCCTCAATCCCATTTTAAGTGATGTGAACTTTCACTTTGATTCTCTCAGTGTTTCATTTAATTTTCTGGGCTCTAACTGGACAGATGATCAGAGGGGCAAAGTTTTGACCCTTAAAATCATAACCAGGATTGAGATATGGGTAGACTTCCTCATCAAATTTACAGTCAGTAATTGAGTAGATCAGTTGAGCGTTATCTACATCATAAAAAGACACCAGTTTCTCCTCATAACTCACATACACCCCCACCTTTTCAGGTGATGTGGTTACATCAATGGGTTTTTTAGAATCTGCAGCTTCATATTTGTTTTCCTCAGTCAAACGCAGAGTCCAGAAGCCATTACCATACCATACCATACCATTTTATTTATAAAGCGCATTCAACATGGCATTACAACCAGACAAGGCGCTGTACATTAAAAGATTACAGTTAATTAACACGTACAGAATGACATTTAAAGCATAGTTTATAAGAAAAAAAATGAAAACAAGAAAATACTAGAACTAACAGTCGTAAAACACTAAAAACACAAAAGGAATGTGAAACAACAGATAAAAACATATGAAAGAACCACAGTAATACAGATGTTAATTATAGTTCATTCTATTGTAGAAAGAATGCAGATGTCGAAAGTGGTCCATGACTATGTATTATATGCAAGGTTGAAGTAGTGAGTTTTCATGCGAGATTTAAAAATGCTAATTGTTGGTGCTTGCCTCACTAGTAGTGGTAATGCATTCCACAGCTTGGGAGCACAGACAGAGAAAGCCCTTTCTCCACGGCTTTTCAGACGTGCGTTTGGAAGAGCTAGGAGGAGCTTATCTTCAGACCTGAGAGCACGAGGCGGATTGTAGTAATGGACGAGTTGACACAGATATGGAGGAGCTTGACTGTTCAGGGATTTATAAGTGAGAAGCATGATTTTGAAATTGATCCTGAGATGAACGGGCAACCAGTGGAGAGATTTTAGAATTGGTGTAATGTGCTGTCTTCTGTCAACTCCAGTCAGGAACCTAGCTGCTGAATTCTGGACTAGCTGAAGTCTAGATTGAGCTGCTTTACTGATGCCGTATAAGCAGGAGTTGGAGTAATCCAGCCGTGAAGTGATGAAAGTGTGGACTACTGATTTGAGAAGACGGACACTCAGGATGTGCTTAAGTTTAGAGATACGCCTGAGGTGGTAAAAACATGATTTAACTGTGTTATTGACCTGAGCATCCATCTTCAGAGCCTGGTCTATTTTAACTCCAAGGTTGGAAATTACAGTGGAGACATTAGGTGAGAGATAGTTGAGGTCAGGTAGATGAGTAGCCGGGATGCTGTGAGGATTAAAAACGATTACTTCTGTTTTGGAGTCATTCAGATGGAGGAAGTTATCAGCAAGCCAAAGCTTAACATTATCGATACAATCAGACAGAACTTGCATTGATTGAGTTGGCTTGAATGAAAAGTAGATCTGACAGTCATCAGCGTAAAGATGGTATGAGACAGCGTGCCTTCTGAAAATGGCTCCTAAGGGCAGTATATAGAGGTTAAATAGTAACGGGCCGAGTATTGAACCTTGTGGGACACCCCAACGGAGTGGTTGTGACTCGGATGAACAGCCATCCAACATGACTCTAGCGGACCTGTTATAAAAGTATGACCTGAACCAATCTAGGGCTGAACCAGAAATGCCAGCCCAAGTCTGAAGTCTGGTGATCAAGATGTTATGATCGATCGTGTCAAATGCTGCTGATAGATCCAAAAGTAGCAGAACCACATGGAAACCTGAATCTAAAGCGAGAAAAATGTCATTAAACACCCGAACATGAGCAGTTTCAGTGCTGTGCTGTTTTCTGAAACCAGATTGAAAAATGTCCATTACCTGATTGTCATTTAGATGTGTCAGCATCTGTTCATACACTATTTTCTCAAGGACCTTAGATAAAAACGGTAATTTGGAAATTGGTCGGAGATTAGAGTAATCAGTGGGGTCGAGACCAGGTTTTTTCAAGATTGGCTGAAGAACGGCGTGTTTAAAGGCAGAGGGAACTTCAGCCAATGTCAAGCTACTATTTAAGATGTCTAGCACATTATGGCTAATGAAAGGAAAAACCTCTTTCAGGAGACGAGGTGGGATAACATCTTCTGGGGAGCCAGACGGTTTCATGGCAGCAACAGTTTTTTCTAGATAGGGCAGAGAGATGGGCTGAAAGCTTTGAAGTTGCACATGAGGGGGAATGACTGAATCAGGAACATGGTTGGTTTGGTGAATCTGAGCTCTGATTACACTAATCTTATTTAAGAAAAACTGCAGGATTTGGTTACACAAGTCAGCAGACGCAGAGGAAAATAGTTTTGTAACTGGTGAAAGCACTGCATTCATAGTTTTATATAACATACCTTGATTATTAGAATTAGCCGTTACGATGCTTGCAAAAAATCGATTTCTTGCGCCTCTGACTGCTCTTTGGTACTGAGACCACGCCTCTCTCATGGATTCAAAGGATACAGTAAGCCTGTCTTTTATCCATTTACGTTCCAGTCTTCTGGCATGTTGTCTCATGGAACGAGTTTGCTCGTTCAGCCATGGGTCAGGTCGGGATGTATTTCGCCTTGATTTTAATGGAGCGACAATATCCAAAGCAGCCAGACAGGATGAATCAAGCGCATGAAGTAATCCCTCAACAACAGTAAATTCATCAGTAGATTGAAATGGAGCTGAATTCAAAGCAAGAATAGCAGCAAAATGTGCAGCAGTATTGGGTCTGATTGTTCGAGAGAAGCTGGGACGGAAACACTCAACACGAGAGGCAGAGTCTAAGTTCATATTAAACACAACTGGTGAGTGATCAGAAAAAGTTGCAGGTAGAATGCCAAGATCACTAATTTGCAGCCCATGACAAAAAATCAGGTCTAGTGTGTGTGTATGACCATGAGTGGGTCCATTAACACGTTGGGACATGCTAAATGAGTCAATAAGATCTAAGAAATCCTTTACCAAAGGTTTGTCAGGACAGCAGACATGAATATTAAAATCACCCAGCAAGAGTATTTTTCCATATCTGCAGGAGACGTCTGCCAGGAAGTTTGCAAATTCATTAAGAAAATCCTTGTTATAGGGTGGTGGACGGTAAATGAGTGCACATAACAATGGAGGGGAACGTCCCAATTCAAACAAACTTAATTCAAAAGACAATGGAGTTGATTGATGGGTAATCGGTGTGCAGACAAGATCTGATTTGAATATAGTCAATAGACCTCCGCCCCGGCGCTGTGCTCTTGGAATGTTAATGAAGGAGCATCCAGGAGGTAACATTTCAACAATAGCAGCTGAATCTCCAGGGGTTAACCATGATTCAGTGGCGCATAGAACAGACAAGCTATTGTTCAGGAAGAATTCCTTCAGAATAAAAGTTTTATTTCCAACCGATCTGGCGTTGATCAGTGCAAAGCGAGTCGACTGCTTTCCCGATGGAAGAGAAAGTCCGGCTCCATCAAATCTTGCAATATACTGTAGGTTGGCCAGATTTATTCCCCGCTGATTGTGCCGTCCAAAACGAGAGCGGCGAAAACGAGAGCGGGAGGGCAACCCGGTGGAACCCAAAGAAACAACAGGCACCAAGCACCCACCTCGAGCATCAGGGGAACTCCGAAAGCACCGCTCCTTTCCCCATACGCAGTAATCTGATGTGATTAGGCGATCTCCACATCTCCCCCGATTGTGTGCCGCAAGCTGGTCAGCAGCGGTCGGCCGCCGGATCATCCTCGGTTCCGAAGCACGCATACAGCGCTTGGCTCCGTGAGCACCCAGCTGGAGAATCATCCCCACATCCCACGCACTCGCGCAGCTCTCAGCTCCGTGAGCTCCCAACTGGCCGGTCATCCACACCTCAGACACATCCATATAACATTCAGCTCCATAACATCCAGCATCCTCACATTAGATGTGTTATATTCGCGACAGTATTTTCTGGATGCAAGTTCCTTGACCACTCCTAGCACCCAGTTTTTTTTCCCTTCAACAAGAACCTCAAAGTAAAACTTTCCAGAAGAGAATTCCTGCTTTCCAAGAACACCATCATAACATCTCCTTGGACCGTCTTTGAACTTCTGTGTGTGTCCACTTTTAACTCGTTTCCCATCTTCAGACAGGGTGACACTTTGACTTGCCGTTTCCGGATCAAGAGTCACATCCACAGCGTACTGCTGGACTCGCTTTGCTTCTACAGTGATGAACATCTTCTTTATCTCTTTATTTAACGCCACTCCCAACCGAGTCTCTGCTGCGTTGATATTCCCCACAAGCGACGAGCAAATCCTGATGTCGGACCAGTCTTTGGTGGGCACAGCGAGGATCAGAGATGAGCTGTTTTGAAGTAACTGATTGTGGTCTTTGGTGTGAAAGAGCTGCTTCATTTCAGAGCTCCTCTTCATTAATTTATCGATCTCTTCTTTAAGCTCTTTAATAAAACCTTCAGCCTGCTTCTCAGCAGTTTTCTGGCTCTCTTCGATTATTTCAATAAGCTGAACCAGAGCAGACTCAGCAGATTGAATCAGCGAGTCAAAGACCCGGATGCTGTTGGCTTTCTCTCTGTCTGTATCAACTTTGCTGAGCTTCACTGACTGGTTAACCTGCTCGATCTTTGTTTGTCTCTCCAGGATCAACTGCTGAGTGTAAGCTTCTGTCTCTTCCAGGTCTTTCTTCTTTCTTTCATACTCGTCCACAAGAGGGACAACGTCATGTCGTCTGTGATCCATTTCACAAAACTTGCAGACACACACCTGATCTGTCTTGCAGAACTTGTCCAGGGGTCTCCCATGCTTCTCACATGTTTCCAGTTTCTCCACATGGTTGATCAGCTTGTGCTCAAGATCATCACTGATCTGGTGAAGCTCCAGGTGGGCCTCACAGTAGGACAACAGACACTGCTGGCAGGACTTCACAGCTTTCCGTTTGTTTTCAGAACAGACGTCACACAGAACTTCTTCTGACGTGGCTCCTTGTTGCTCTGAAGTGTTTTTACCCTGAACAGGGTTTCTGAAGCTAGCTAGAAGTTCAGATAGAAAAGTATTGACTCCAAGCTCTGGTCTGGGATTAAAAACCTTTTGACACAAGGGACACTGACTCTTGTCATTGTTATCCCAGTGTTGGGTGATACATTCCTTGCAGAAATTGTGTCCACATGGTACGGTGACAGGATCAGTGAACACGCCGAGGCAGATGGAGCACAGAAAGTGGTCATCAGTAAGGAGAGAACTGGCTGTTGCCATTTCTAAGAAGAAAAAAAAATAAAACAGACTTGGATTGAAACCAGTTAAATCTGATAACAAAGGCTAAATATTAAGCCCACCTGTACTGAGGCATGACTCAAGGCAACCCACAACTGTTCAATAGTTAATTTCTAGAAGCATCAAATAACTCAATAGCACCCCCTGCTGTTTAATGAGTCAGACATGAAATTGTGTCAACAGTTTTGTGACCAAACGATATTCAAATCTAGAACAAAAAATACCTGCTGCAGCAGTTTTACAACAGCTTTTAACAAACATGAAAAATGACCCGCACTTGTATAGCGCCTTTCAGAGTCAGAGGACCAAAGTGCTTTACACTACAGTGTATCATTCATCCATTCACACACACACACACACACACACACACACACACACACACACACACACACACACACACACACACACACACACACACACACACACACACACACACACACACACACACACACACACACACGTGGTGGTGATGAGATACAATGTAGCCACAGCTGCCCTGGGGCGCACTGACAGAGGCGAGGCTGCCGAGCACTGGCGCCATTCTGTGGTTGCGATTCTGAAACAATGGTTTTGGCACATTAAAGCTCAATTTGGTGCCAATTAATCTGACCAAATGTTACAGATATAAATATCGTTTAAAAGAAATTCCGTAAAACTGAATAATAACTAGTATTTTATTTATTTAGCAGTTTGTAAATAAATATATAAAAAATAATAAAAGTTATGAAAACTGTTGTCGCAGAAGGAGAAGAGTATATAAGGAGTCAGATCTGCGGCTGGGAAGCAATAAACATAATAGCAGCAGAGTTTACATTTAATACTGTTTTCAGTCTGTCTGACAGAACCAGAAGCTCACTAGCCTAGAGATCTAGACAGACCGTAGAAGCACAGTGGCTCTGCTTCACATTTATAGGATGGGTTGCCAGGCTAGCAGCTCACTGCAGGTCGGCAACATTCCTGCTTTATCAGTTGATTTTTCTGATTAGTGACGGAGTTCACACGAGACTGTTGGTTTATTAGCAAACAGCTTTAGAGGTATTTACCATCACACACACAGGAATGACATCTGTAGCTTTTGACATTTTCTGTGTACACTTTGTACATTCTGGTTGTGTGAAAGCGCTACACGAATGAAGCTGAACTTGAACACATCCAACCAATAATAATTATAATCAAATTTCTGAGTTGACTTGCAACAGTTTTTTCCCAGTTCTACATACTTTATCGCCCCTAGTGTTTTCCCCCCTAGATTCAAAGTTCTGTGTGCAACAAGAAACGTTCCTAGTGCCTTTAAACATGAAAATACTAACACTGAATCTGTTTTGAGAAGAATCAATGAATAAATGAGTCACTTCCTATTCCTAAAGTTAATCCTGAAGCAGGAAAGAGACCTGATAGTTTTTCAGAAGTTTGACCCACTCAATCTTAACTTTTACCTTCCTCTGCTGAGACTGCGCTTTGATTTGTTCACACATACGTTCAGTTTAAGTAATGATGGGTCCAGCAACACAACAGTGACAGTAGAGTCTGGCCTGCAAAGATGTTTATGATCCAGCAGGTATCAGTAGACAAATAGTGACACAGTGTTGACCACAGACATATATCTCGATAGATGCAGCTGGGTACTCTTGGGAGATTGGACCATGTTGACACGGAATCGATACAGCTTGGGTAATGTGCCGAAACGCTTCACGAGGCTTCCGCTACCCATCACTAAGTTTAAGTAATTATTATATGTAAAGCTTGTAATACAAGAAAAAGAAAAAGCGAATTCAAGACTATCTCTTACCTCTGGATGTGGCTGCACAAACAGCAGCATGCAGACGTAGCCCCGGCCAAACACGCCCCTATGTACAAAGCATGCGTGCATGTACGAAGTCGAGAGCTCGCATGCATGTTGCAAGAGATGGAAATGACGGTTCAGGTAAAGACAGATTTATATTTTTACAACTTGCGAAGATTTTGTACTAGAGATTTGAACGTTTAAGACATCGTTTGATAGATAGCGCATTCGTAATTTTTTTCTGAAACACTTTTATATAAAATTAAGCATTATTGGCAGTGGGGGAAGACGTCATGGATGCAAATTTTTTTAATATAATTTTTAATGGGCTACATGCAAGCCTTTTGGCCAAAATAAATGTAACAATAGGCTATTTATTTGACCGTTTATGACTCCTCATCTAATAAGCAGCAAACTCACGACGGCAATGTGGTAGCCCGGAGGTATTCTACAAACACAAGAACAGTGCTAATGCCTATGTATTGTTTTCACATTGTTCATGACAGCCTCTAGGTGTAAATGTCATTTTTACTAATTGCTATTTATCTTTGTCTCATTAGTGAGAGGCAGCTGATGTCCTAATGCCATGGAACTGCTCATATACACGGAGAAATTCAGAAAAGCTCTGGACTCATCTCATTGTGTGGACATTTTTTTGGGGGGGAAGGTTTTTGTTAGGCCATTAAAAGCTGTTGCTGGTTGTTTCATTTGTCTGAACTTTTTTTCTAAAGCCAAACTTTTCTGCTTTTGTGTTTACAGTATATTCTTTACAGATTAGTGTATGGTCAATATCAGTTTACTAGTCTTGTGAATTGTATACTTAATGCAAAGTATTTTAGTAATTTCTAAATCAATACATTTTGTGTCAAAGGGCCAGCAATTATTCCTGTTAACAGAATATATGAAATGCATATATACACATATAAATATGCTTAAACATTACACATCAGCAGCTTTTCACTGTAAAGAAGCTATAAAAATTCATAAATAGTAACATAAATATTAACTACTCACTCGTATGAACTTAGACCCACTGTTAGTGCCTGTAATAGCAAATAGTTGAAAGTTAAATGTTGCTGTAGGAGGCGTGCTCCCAAAAGTGGAGGCTAGCGGGCTTAAATCTAACAGGGTAACTCGGAAACCATTTTCTCCTTGGATAAATGACAGCATTCAGAACTTGAAAAGACTGTGCAGGAAAACGGAACGCCTGTGGAAGTCCACTAAACTCGAGGTCCATAGGCTGTACCTTAAGGACCTTATGCTTTCTCTAAATGAGCTGATAAAAAAATCCAGGTCTGAATACTTCCGCAAACTGATTATCCAAAACAAGAAAAAACCACAAGTTTTATTTGACACTATTAGCTCTATTGTGGCTCCTGCTGTGCCTCTTACACCTGTTTTCAACAAAGCAGATGCAAACAAATTCCTTAATTACTTTGTTGATACTCCTCCTTGAACCGTCACCTTATCGTGGTGGAGGAGTTTGAGTGCCCTAATGATCCTAGGAGCTATGTTGTCTGGGGCACTTGGTGCCCCTGGTAGGGTCTCCCATGACAAATTGGTCTTAGGTGAAGGGTGAGACAAAGAACGGTTCGAAGGATCTTTCATGGCGGTTAAAACGAAGAGTCGGAGTACCCGGCCCGGAGGGTTACCGGGGTCCCACCCTGGAGCCAGGCCTGGGGTTGGGGCCCGTGAGCGAGCGCCTGGTGGCCGGGCTTTCGCCCATGGGGCCCGGCCGGGCCCAGCCCGAACCGGATACATGGGCTCGTCCAACTGTGGACCCACCACCCGCAGGAGGAACATGAAGGGTCCGGTGCAATGTGAATCGGGTGGCAGACCAAGGCGGGAGCCTTGGCGGTCCAATCCCCGGACAAGAAAACTAGTTTTTGGGACATGGAACGTCACCTCGCTGGCGGGGAAGGAGCCGGAGCTTGTGGCAGAGGTTGAGCGGTACCGGCTAGATATAGTCGGACTCACCTCGACACATTGCATTGGCTCTGGAACCCGAGACCTGGAGAGGGGTTGGACACTCTACTTTGCTGGAGTTGCTCCGGGTGAGAGGCGGAGGGCTGGGGTTGGCTTTTTGTTAGCCCCGAGACTCTCTGCCTGTGTGTTGGGGTTTACCCCGGGGGACAAGAGGGTAGCTTCCTTGCGCCTTCGGGTCGGGGAACGGGTCCTGACTGTTGTTTGTGCTTATGGGCCAAATATCAGTTCAGAGTACCCACCCTTTTTGGAGTCCCTGGGACGAGTGCTAGATAGTGCTCCATCAGGGGACTCCATTGTCCTGCTGGGGGACTTCAATGCTCACGTGGGCAATGACAGCTTGACCTGGAGGGGTGTGATTGGGAGGAACGGCCCACCTGATCAGAACTCGAGCGGTGTTTTGTTATTGGACTTCTGTGCAAGCCGCAGTTTGGCCATAACGAACACCATGTTCGAACATAAGGATGCCCACCGGTACACTTGGTACCAGGGCAGCCTAGGTCACAGGTCGATGATAGATTTTGTAGTCGTATCATCTGACCTGCGGCCGTATGTTTTGGACACCCGAGTGAAGAGAGGGGCGGAGCTGTCAACTGATCACCACCTGGTGGTGAGTTGGATCAGATGGCAAGGGAACATGCCGCATAGACCTGGCAGACCCAAACGCATAGTGAGGGTCTGCTGGGAACGCCTGGCAGAAGAACCTGTCAAGACGGTCTTCAACTCCCACCTCCGGCAGAGCTTTGACCACGTCCCGAGAGCAGTGGGGGACATTGAGTCCGAGTGGGCCTTGTTCCACTCTGCGATTGTCGAGGCGGCTGTTGCTAGCTGTGGTCGTAAGGTGGCCGGTGCCAGTCGTGGTGGCAACCCCCGTACCCGCTGGTGGACACCAGAGGTTCGGGGAGCCGTCAGGCTGAAGAAGGAGGCCTACAGGGCGTGGCTGGTCTGTGGGTCTCCGGAGGCAGCAGACAGGTACCGGATAGCCAAGCGGGGTGCAGCAGTGGCAGTTGCCGAGGCAAAATCTCGGGCGTGGGAGGAGTTTGGTGAGGCCATGGAGAAAGACTATCGATCGGCTCCAAAGAGGTTCTGGCAAACTGTCCGGCGCCTCAGGAGAGGAAGGCAGCAACTCGCTCACACTGTTTACAGTGGGGATGGGGAGCTGCTGACGTCAACTGGGGCTATAGTCGGACGGTGGAAGGAATATTTTGAGGAGCTCCT